TAAATTTTCCAATTTATTCTAAAGCCTATCAGAAGCATAACAATATAAAAACTACAGAGTGTTATGTCACTTCAAACGTGTTGTATCATACTAAAATAAAATCTCAGCCATTCATGAAATACATGTCTTGTCTGTAGAATGTAATGCTGTATTGTACAACAAATATTCAACAGGTATATTTTTTTTTTTCAAATCCTATTCTTTTCATCAGCTTTCAAAAAAAACAGCAGTGGTTTCAAATGTCTTTTCTATCAGTTTTACACAATTTATATCAGCATACAAATATATTGTGTTTACCAGCTAACATTAAATTATGGTGTGTATAGATTTCAATTTTGCTAAAATCTGTAATAAGCTTTTCACAAACTAATATAAATGACCAAGATAATATTTTCTTCACTGGCAATTTTCTTAAAAAAAAATTAAAGATGAATTGTTTTAACATAGAAATTCTGTTTCATACAACAAATACCTGAAATAATGCAAACAATGCCTCCATCAAAAATTCTTTTCTACTTTAATCATATAAATTGGCTGTATATATATAGATCCTTTGGCTTTCCGTAATATCTACACAGTGTGACTAGAAAAAGTATCTTCATGCAATACTATAGAATATAAACTTGGTATCTATGGTTTATGGTTCCATTGGCCAAGTGACTATGAACATATATAGACAACAAAAAGTACAACACTAATCAACTTTAAATTAAAAAAATATATTCCAATAATATTACAAAGACTTGCTTAAAATGGTGTTTCAAGGAGATTTATCTTATTTTTTTCTTTATTTTAAATTTTGTTTGGAAAAAGTTTTTTTAATCTGCTGAATTTGCTCAAATTGTATAAAATACTAATTTCTCTTTTGATTTTCTACATTATATTTGGGTACTTATATGGTATTTAAAGAATCGCTTAAAACACACAGAAAACCCTTATATCATTTACATAAAAGTTCAAGAGTTCTTAAAAATCGGCAAATGTTTTCTAAGAATGCATTGTTAGCACTACATCAATGTAACATAAATATTACTGAACTACATGTAATGTTTGTTTTTCACTTTAAGAATAATGTACGACTTCATTTCAGGAAATAAAATCTTAATACATCAGAAAAAGAATTCTACACATCTTTTGAATAACAAAAATTAATCATTTGATGTTAAAAGTAATCATATAATGTAATGTTTGGTGTAGGAGCTACAATTAGAGCAGCTTTCATGGATATTGTAATGATTTTCTCCTCCATACAAAATTACTGTATGACAGCAACAGTAGATAAACCTCTACAGATGAAACTTCACAAGTTTGAGTGACTCTAGAAACATAAATATTTATATAAAGACAGCTATACGATTGACACATCACAAGCAAGAACCATAACTTCAAACAGTGGCCCCATGTAACCTGTACAGAATAAATAAATATACATAGGTTTTGTTTTCACACTAGGATTCTGGATAAGTTAATGTTCACAGCAAGACAACACGATACTAAGGTTAAGGTTGAAGATAGTACAAACGATGCTTTATTTTTTTTTTCAAACATCTTGACTCATTTGTTTAAAAAAAAATCCTGTTACATGAATTTTTTTTTAGTCCAAGCAGCTCACCATGTCAGTTAAATACAACATGTTTTAAAATTAATTTCTGCCTATTCTTTAGCAATACTAATGAGATTCTATTTGATATAATGAAAAAAAAAAATACACTGCTAAGAGTAGAATATGTTCACAAATCTACATAAAGTACTTCTCAGACAATTTCAAATAAAAGTTGTGAACAAATTGGTTGGTTCACCAGTTACTTCGAGCTCTAAGGTTTTGTATAATTTAAGCAGTTTGAAAGCAGTACATGATGTACAAATAATTGGTTACACAAATGGTATAAAGTATATAATCATATTTCTCCTGGAAACAACAGTACTAAATATATTTCTGAAGGTTAAACTACTGGTACTAATACATTCACACTTTTTTTTTTAAAGGTTGGTTTATGTGAGGTAAAAGAAAAATTCTTTTTATGTCTTAAACACACAACATACAATAATTAAATATCACTAAGATTTCAGTAAAGCATCACTTTGTAGAGAGGAAGAATAGTCACCTTAATTCAGTTTAACAATTCACATGGTAAAACAATGACCAGAAAATTTAACTAATAATTTGAAAAAAATGCCACTAATATTTGTCACATAATCAGATATTACTTAAATCCTTTAAGAAGAAGTATGAAGGAATTCTCTCAATTTCTGCATGTGTACTATTATGAAAATGATTTTAAGATTTTGTTAAACATAAATGAAAATATTTTATCTTTAAAAAGTATTGATAAAATATCTTTTGAAAAATCTATGTTAAAACATGTTAAAAAAACAACACAAAGAAATATTTCCTGTTTTTAAAGATACTAGTATTGGTCTATTTCAATAAATTCACTTTTGCTGGGGAAGATTTCACAGTTTTAGCACGGTTAAGTAAGGGTTGCTACAACTTTATGACAAATTTGTTCATGGAGATCATCCAACTATCTACCCGTAGAAAAATCTGCCAATTTTTTTCATGACAGATCCTGGAAATTCTTTCAATATCAAAGCTATAATTATAAACATTAATAAATATTTTAAAATAATAACACTGCAAGCGAGTTCAATGAAACTGCTATCTACAGATTTAGTAAAACCTGCATATTAAATTCATTATAAGAAAATATATCATCCAACAGATTAACTGAAACTCGGAAAAAAAAATTAAAATGCCATCATAAATCCCTATTCCCAGTGGACGCCATCTCTCTTGCCTTTCAAAAGGTAAGTCTTCATATCTCCCTTTCCTTTTACTTGAATGGTTCCTCTATATTCAAATTCAAACACCTCTTCCAGAAGCTTGAGGCATGCCTCTGGTACCTGGATTCTGTCCTTGACCCCTGTAGAATACATACGGCTAGAGATGTTAACCGTGTCTCCCCAGATGTCATACAACAGCTTAGTTGTCCCTATCACACCTGCTGTGACCTCTCCATGATTGTACCCTATATTGAGTATAAAGTCAAAGTTAAACAAACTTTCATTGAATCTTTTCACTACCTCTTGCATTTCCATGGAAAACTCCATTAAAGCAAAGAGATGGGCATGGGGATGTTTGTTCTCCATTCTGGACTGTGTGTTGAGGCCAGAGGCAGCCATAAAGGTACTGGTGATAGTCTTTATTTTCTCCACATCCTTGAATCTATGTTGATTGAGCAAGTCTTCATAGTCACTTACTAGTTCATTTAACACTCTCAAATATTCTCTTCCCCCTTCATAAGACTCATCATAGAACTCATTAAAATTCACAATGGCAGCAAAAATGACTCCAACATCTTTGTGGTTCTTGGAGTACTGGCAATTCTCTCCTTTCAACTGTTCTGAGACATGCTTAGGGATAATGTTGTGAAGCAGCCAATCAGCTTGCTCCTTGTTCAGTTGCATTTGCTGTTTATTGGCTGATGCTTGTTTGTCTCCATGGTAGGACAATCTGTAACTGATTTCAAATTCTCTGTTCAGAAAGAAGACCAGAATGAGTAACAGAATGATGTCCAATATGATCTCAAACTGCAGAGGGTGATCTCCTGAAAACAGTGGTGGAACTACTGTAGCATCTGGGGCAATGGTTGTGACCATGGTAGTAATGCTTATATCTGTTGTATTGGAGTAACCAAAAGTTCCATTGACCATGGACTTTGTTCCAGAGTTATTTTTAAACACACAGAGCTGAACATACAACAAGACAAGAATAACAATTCCTGCAAGTGATGCTACAATGGACTTGACCCAGGAACTAATCATGTTGTAGTTACAGTAGTGCAGAAGAGCCATAACAATGCAGTAGCAGAAGAAATGGTCCTGTGAGAATGTGCTGATAGCAATTTCACATGACAGGTTGGAGTAGACAGCTAACACAGGGATACTGGTCACCACTGCTCCAATCAGGTTCCTGAAGTACCACCCAGACATCAGATGTGTGCAGCTAGGACAGGACTCCACCTTCCTCTCCTTGTATCTGACATCAGTGAATGCCTGGATGAGGCAGAGAATCTCAAGAATCAAGAAGATAATAAAGACGAGGATCCAGGGAATCTGTCTCTCAAAGATCAGGAAGCAACAGACAGAGGTGATACCAAAGACCATAAAAGCCACAATGATCTCCAGGAGGGCCTGGTAGCGGGGAGAGGAGACAGTGTTCTGATTTTGGGTGTCCTCCAGGTAGTGATCTCGGTAATCAGTCTCCATTTCTGGGGTGGTGAAGGCCAATGTAAGGGCATGGATGGGAGGTTTGTAGAAGAACTCCTGGTTTGTACTGTCTTCGTTGATCAGCTTGATGATCTGTTTGTCGTTCATGTATTTGCCATGTTCACCGTCTCTGGTCTCCTCCTCTGTAAACAAAATAAACTGAATTAATTGTAGCATACAGAAATAAAAAAACTGAAAGAAATACTTTAAATATTTGAACATTAATGCATTTCAAGTTCTTGGATTTTAAAAAGTAATACAGACTTATACTCCAATTATTCCATGTAGTTCTCAATGATTGTTCAATTAACATCTAGTTTAGAGTGAATTGTGTAATTTTTCCCAGAACTCAAGGAAAATGGGCTAAGGCTTCCCGAAACTCAATACCGTTCAATATTTCCAATCAAGTGTGTGAGTTTTTGAAGATACACTTGTATAAAAATGTGTTTGATCTTTGTATAAAAAATTGTATGCAAAAACAAAAATTATTCACTAAACTTATGAGCTTGATGTGAAATAAATTTGTTTCTGAGTAAAAAAATGAAAAGCTAAATATATAATATGAAATGAGAGAAAATTTGTTTTGTCAAAAAAGAAAACATCATCATTTCAACCTTTATATTGTGCAGTAATATTCTTAGCATTCAACTTATATGTAAATTAATGCAGATCACTATATTTTTGCGACACCTTATTTTCGTGAGTTAGCTATTTGGTATTTATAAGCGAGATAAAATTTTTGTGAGCTGAGGTTTCTGTTGTATATAATCCATAACAAAACAAATATATGAGTGAATAAAATTTTCATGAGCAGACAGATTCGCGTAATAACGAAAAATAAAGTTCTTACAAATAAAAAGTGATTTACAGTAATTTTCACGATGGCTTGCAACTCTTACAGGATAATTTCTCCAGAACAGCCTGAATTTTCTATGGGTGTATCCACAAGTCAAAAACTTCCTCAGAATAATCATTGTAATAATTTTCTCCTACATGATACTGGATTATTATTACACCATATGAGTCCTACAGGATCATAATTTACTACATACTGTAGACTGGCAAATATTGCCCCAAAAAGTTGGTAATGTTATAGAGGGAAAACAGTGTCTTACGCCGGTTGACCCCAGATTGATCCCGCAAAGGGAAATAACTTTCATAAATATGAAATTCGTCTATTATTACACCATATTAAGTCTTACAGGATCATAATTTAGTAAATACGGTATAATTTGTCTACTCCAGATTCTGAGTACTCTGAAATTTTGTCCATTTCGACCTTTTTTTTTTAGCAATTGTATTGTAAAAAATTCTGTGTAGTCTGAATACTGTCTATTCTGTATTCCATACCGCCATATTCAATTTCATCCCAACTGCTCATATTTCCTCTAATCTGGCCGCACAATATTACCTGAGTCACTTAAATGCAATTAACACCTGGCATCAAAGATGTGCTAATGAGTGTTACATAAGTGCCATGAGATGAACAGAAAGAAACCTGACATGGCCTATTTAAATCAATATAATTTAATTCTGGTTGTAACGCTGTATTTGATTGGATAAAAAAATTTACTTCATATCGTATAAAATGGGTTGCCTACGTCACGATGACTTGTGTCAAAAACGTATCAATCCGCCTGATGTTACTTTCAAATTTTGTACAAATTGAAGTCATTTTTTAAGGACAATCATCTTTTTTTCTTACACCTACTGAATGAAAATTAAATTATAAGGAATGAATTTAATAGTTACCCAATCTATATGGTATAAACTGGAACAGTTTACGCTTTTTTTATAAACTGCTTCGCGGTTTATAAAGCGTTAATTGCCCCAACCCAGTTTATACCGTATAAAATGGGTAGCTATTAAATTCATTCCTTTAATAAAATTAACGTTTAATTACAAGTGAATTTAAAAAAAAAAACTTACATATTTAAATTTAAATTGCTTTAACTCCATATCACACAGCATAACATAAAATCAATGACAATACATGTACACTAGTCTATTTACAAATCAAAATATAAATTGGGATCACCCTCAAACATCTTCAAAATGGCACCTTAACATTATAGATTTTGACTCCATTTACATTTCACGCTGAGATTCATTGACAAGTCCCAAACTTTGTGAACAAAAAAGAAAAACTGACGGTAAGTGACATGCATATTATTTTGAATAATTTCTGGACGCCAAAATTATTGAATGATTTTATCATTTAATTATATTTTGCCAACATATGCATCATACTTTTAAACAAAACAACAGAAATATATTGGAAATTTTCAGCATCCAGATTCTGTCTAATCTGGCCAATTTTTATGGAACTGGTGGTAATGAGTTTCGAAAATTATACTGTAGTTCCTACAAGATACTGGAGTATTACTACACCGTTTCAGTCCTACAAGTTCTTTACTACAAAATTAAGCTCCAACATGCTGGATGATTACACCATGTAAGTCCTACAGAATCATTATTACAAAAGTTCCTACATGACGCTAGATTATCATTACACTATGTAAGTCCTACAGGGTCATCAATACAGTATTTAGCTTCATGATATTGGATTATTAATAAACCATACAAGACCTATAGGATCATTATTGTATATACATGATGCTGGATTATTATTATACAGTGCAGGGTCTGCAGGATCATTATTACAAAATTAAGCCCTTACATCATACTAAATTATCTTTACACCATGTAAGTCCTACAGGATCATTCTTACAAAATTAAGCTCCTACATCATACTTCATTATTTTTACACCATTAAGTCCAACAGGATCATTCTTACAAAATCAAGCTCCTACATAATGATGAGTTATTATTTACCATGTATGTATTACAGCATCATTTTTACTATATAATCTGATTCAAATCAGATCCTCGATGCTCCTTTTTTAACGATATTTCGCTTACTAAGTGACATACCGTTAAAAAAGGAGCATAGAGGATCTGATTTTAATCAGATTGATGATATATAGTTCTGGATAATTATTACACCATACAGGTTCTACAAGATCATTATTACATAATTAAGTTACTACATAATTACAAAATTAGGCTTGTACATCATGCTGGATTATTATTATTCCATGTAAATTCCACAGGATCACCATACAGTATAAAGCTCATATATGCTGGATTATTATTACACCATATAAGTCCTACACGATCAACATAACAGTATAAAGCTTCTACATGATGCTGGATTATCATTATAACACTATATAAAAATCCTTTAGATTTAAGAGTTTATAAGATCCCTGACATTATTAGGATGAAACTTCCAATGTTTCTCCATTACAATATATAGCCAGGAAAAGATGTGAAGATTACTTTGCTTGTGACCTTGAACTTGTCAAAATGACTTTTTGTCAATGTCATGACACACTCTCAGGTCATGAACAATCTTTGTGTGAAGTATAAGCTTTCAATGTTTTACGTGACAAGATATAGTAAGGACAGGGATTATACATATATCTTTCTGCCAGTGACCTTGAACTTGCCTGAATGCTTTTAAAACAAGATCTAGACAATCCTCAGGACATAAGTAACCTTTGTTTCAAGTACGAGCTTCACTTTCATCCAATACAAAGTTAAGTTCTGTACACACAATTTTACAGACAGATTGAGAAACAGATGTATAAATGGACAAGGTAATTCCTATATAACTCCTTAAACGTTGTTTGTGGGGACATAAAAATACTTGCTATTAATCCTAAACATTTAAACTTATGGCTTATACTTTGGCCAAACTCTGGCAATTTTAATGGTTATTAAAATGAAAGACCTAGATAACCCCCCCCCCACCCTTTTCCCCATCTCCAAGATTTTGCTATCATTATGCATGGTAAAAACTGCACTCTATACATCACATATATACAAAAATATTTGTACTTTTCCATTGCCATTGTCTGGACACAAATGTATACCCCTCCATCTTATCAGTAACACTTCCAACAGTACTAGTGTATGATAAAAAATTCATTATTATTCTCTTGTATCATTTTTTACAAGATCATGATGAGCCCACAATCTTTACAGATGATAAGATTTAATGATTATATACATTGTTGCTAGTGACCTTTTTTGTTACTAATGATGCTGCTTTCTTTCGTGTCATTGGTCAGTTTTGTTTCTCCAGTTGTGATTCCCGAGGCATTTTTGATAAGTAAACTGGGATCAATGGTGACAAGTGTTTCAATTTTCCCTGTTTAATGCAATTACAGTGTTATTTAAAGTATACATGAACATCCTCTATTTTATCAACTATTTAGAAATAACTCGTAATGAAAACAAGTCTCTATAAATTCAATAAAATGTGTGTTGCTTAGGGTTTTCTGGTAGCAATTTGGAATTACTTAAAAATATTTGATAAATTACATGTCAGTATATACATTTTTCCTTAAAAATCAGAACTTCCAAAAGAAAGCAATTCTTATCAAAGACTAGCAACACTAGCAATCTAGTATCATTGGCAAGACTATGGGTAAAAAAAATACTTCTAACAATTAATCCGCTAGATCAACTGGGGTGAATTTCTCTTTCGCACAAATACACCATCTTAAATTACATATTTCATTCAATACTAATTTCTAATCCATTGACCTTGATGAGCTGAGCTTAGGATGAGTTCATGCATCGGACACAAACCTATATCAAATCTGAATGTCTCTGTGTTTTGATTTGTTTCTGTCTTAAAGCTGAATATTTAAACATTTTAAAGATGCTGATTTTTATTATCATTTGTGCTAAATGCCTTGAAGTGACATCACATTTGGAAATCATCAAGGGGGGGGGGGGGGGGGGATGTAACCAGAATTTTATGATTTTGCAAATATTTAGAGTTGTCTTTCTTTCATTAGACTTCAAGAGAATGAGTCCTGTTTGGGGTGAATTTTTTAATGATTGATAATTTTCTAAAATATTTCAAGAAATTTCATTTCAAAGTTTGTATTTTCTTATAGTTGTTTTTATTAAAAAGTTTATTTCAGTATATTAAATGCTTGGGACTTTGTCCACTGCACAGATGATTACTTCCTTATCAATATATGACAACTAGAAGTGGGCTCTCTTTATTGCAAACTAGAAGATCTACGATAACCCCCCAAGACCAAGGCGTGACTTTCTATATATTACAAGGCATTGCAAGGCCTAAGGTGATGCGATGCTACTAAAACCTCTCCACATTTGTGGCTAGATTAAGTCAATTTAATCGAGTTAATTTTTAAATGAAACAATATTTTCAATTCACTAATTTAAAAGCATTTCAGGTATCTTATTATGACATTTTTTTTGTCCAATGCATGGTTAATATTGTCCGATCCATAGTGAAATCTGGCTTATTCCAACAAAATCATTTTTTGATGATATTTTCTCAATATATCATAAAATTGTATCCCAATTTCATATCTTAATCACTCTTAATACATGTTAAGCTCCATTTTGATAATATTTAGTTGGTAGAGATATCGCTAGAACTTGTTCTTGGGTGTCTGATGCATGGTGAACTCATCCTACAACACAGCGGAAGAGTATGATGATTATGTTTTGGTATAACAGTTAACAAAAAGCATAAAGCTGCAAAGTTACGATACTGTTAAACCTTGTTATCTCAAACTCATTTGGGCCAAGAAAAGCTTTGAGGTATCAAAGGATTCAAGATAATGAGGTTAAAATACAAAAAAGAACAAGTGGTTGGGACTTCCAGCTCATTTTGATATATCTATGGTATTTGAGATATCAATTGCTCGCATTATCACCAGTGTTAGATAGGCCTGTCCAGTGTGAGACAGCAGTAAGAGATTTTTCTGTCATACTGTTTATAACTATGCTGCAAACTGTATTATTTTAAAACAATTATAGTATAAATAAAATGGGGGGGGGGGGGTACAAAAGGCACTATATACACTTTGAAAACTTAAACTTTTATTGAGGCATATGAAATTTTCATTATTTTTAGAAAAAACAATGGGTCAATTGAACATTTTACAATCAGAAACTCACAGAAAGATGTAAATAGGCTGCAGCATTTCAACTGAAATATTAATTTGTCATTGTTACAAATCTCAAACTTCACAAAACTCTCATTTTGAAACAGTATTATCAGCGCCTGTCTTGTTCCGCAGTGAAATGTGGCACAGCAACATTCCTTGACTTGACAACTTTTTCAGACAACTCTGTCATTCAACTCAAAACAGTCAGGTCAGGCCAACTTTAAACTGATGTTTGTTTGCCCTCTCCCGACTCAGGACGAAAAAAATTGGGTCGCTATGTAGGTAAGAGATTTTTTCTCTCAGAAAATTTCAATTTCAATGCTAAATTTTAAAATCTATTATCCAGAATACATAAAAAAAAAATAATTGCTTCCTGGAGGTTAAAAAAAGGTTTGAGTTGGGCCATTTTAGCCAGTCAGTGAAGAGAGGGCAGCCATACAATTTTTAAAGATAAGGTCTCTTACAATGTTTTTTCTCAGCTACGCCTTGTGATCAGCAATCTATGGGATTGATGTTTAATGGATGACAAGTAGAAAATAACAAACAAAACTTATCTGTCCACAAAACAAATCCCTGTCTTGACTCAGACTATAAAACAAGCTGCAAACACAATTGACCAAATGCAAATGACCCATTTATGACCTAAACATTCATCCTAATTTAAAAATTGTGGCAATATGAAATTTTTTAAATTTTATTTTATTGTTGATTTCAATTTTTAAAAATTTATTTTTCATTGAAAACAGTCTTTTTTCACTTCTTGGGTAGCACTATTTTAAGGTGCGGAAGGATAAATATGTTAAAGGACATTTTTTCATTCCTGATTATAATATTATGTAGACTCTACCATTTAAATGGATTGAAATTTAATTTCCAAGTTTACACATATTGTATAAACCATTCTTAGGTATGATTTCTTTGATGGTGTATTTAGATTTAAAACCCAATTCAAAATAAGAACTTAATTTTTTTTTAAGGTGATGATACGATAATAAATTAGTTAAGATAATGCAAGAAAAATAAACATTCATTATATACTTATGTAGAATAGTGAAATTCCACCAAGGGGCTAAGATTCACGGTTTAGGAGTCAGCAAAGACTCATTCTAGACTGTGATCTTGTCCAGTGAAATTTCACTATCTCACATTTGTAATAAGGAATGATTCTATAAGTTTGAGATACCAAAGTTCAACTGTACATATTTGCATGTTCCAGAGGGAAATGACTGAAATTTTAATGCAGTCATCATTTCTGAGGTGAGTCATTAAAACATTGCTCTCTCTAAATTAACTTCTACAGGGTGCCAGATAAAAACTTACTATCTTCTAGAAGAAAATAAAGCCATTAAACAGAGAGAAAGGTATAAAGTACATGGTATAGGTACATTAGGACAATATCAACAACACTAGCTGTGTTTGAGCACTATATACAAAAAGAAGAAGCTCAGCTAGCAATTAGAGTTGTCTATTATTGCTGGAAAATCTGACAAAACTTCATTTGTTTCTACTTATTTCATGAAAAAAATATGTTCAAACAATCATCAATTCTAGACTAAAATCCAGATTATAATCATCTCCATACTAAAGATCCAAATAATCATCAACTCAAATTGTGATTTCAAGTGAGGCCTACGAAAAGAATATTTGTTACTATAATAATGCTAAATATAAAAAGGGTCATTAGGTAGGATGTTGTTTTTATTTTTCATTACTTTTTAAAAGGCATAACTTGATATACATCTTGTTAAAAGACACTTTAAAGCTCTTTTTCCCTGGTCATAAAATCTCCCTCCCCCCCCCCCCCCCATCTTCACCACAGCTCTAAAAAGGGCTACTGAAATGTGTCTATACGACCTATAAAATTTATATTTGAAGGAAAATGTACAGAAATGTATTTTCTTGATGTTACAATAAAAAAAATATTTGTGTATAAAAGGCTAGGTTGGGTAACCATAAACAGACATTTTTTTTCTTAGGCCTGATCATCATTGTTTACTCTCCAAAACGTTGCTCTAGCACTAAGTTTTGAAGAAGTGCAGCACAACATTATTATAACTCTATGCACACACAGTTTTATAGCATAAATGCACAAAATTAAATATTTGTAGATAACTTTCCTAAAATCAATTTCCATGAAAAACATTTCCATGTAAATTGACCTTTGGGAAAGATTTAATATTTACATGGAATTGTTTTTTATGAAATGGCCTACCGATATTAGTGATAAATGTAGGCTGTTTAATTTTCGAGTTGAGTTATTATACCTCTATTGTTTTTGCACTATATTTCATCAATTTATTTGTTTTTGTTTAATCCCCAAATTTTACTTGCATTTTATATTAAAATTGTATGGTCTGAAAATGTTAAGTATTTTTTACCCATAGATATTATTGTCTAGGTCTGTTTATCACATGTTCAAATGTTGAAAAATATCCTTTCTAATTATCCTATGTCTTGTGCCTTAGTTGTAATTAAAAGAAATAATTCTTTGCTTACAAACAAAAGCTCTTGGGTATTCCGTGAAAAGATCTTTCAAGAAGGATCATGTGACATTTTGAAAGTATGACCAGGTTAAACATGTTTTTGTTTACTGGGTAGAATTTCATAGGTTAGCATCTATTTACTTCATACCATGTTCAATAATTTGATTATTCAATTAAGTAGATATTTGACCACTGCTCTTCTCTTGTGTCCTAATTCTGTCAAAATAATCTGTGATATCTCATGTTTACAATTGAAGTGAAACTATTTAGTGCACATGTGCATTATCAGCAGTCATTGTATTTATTGTGGAACCACAATTTTTTTTTAACCTTTCAATTTCTTTTTCTCTATGATAGATGCAAACCAGAGTGTGTAACTTTCAGAAAGTGAAAAACTTTAACACTGTAAACAAATGATGGTGGTTCATTATAATTATCTGAGATCAAGAAGATTGGATCATACAGCGATAAGAATTGTCCCTCAAAAAGTAGATGTTATTTTCATAGATCCACCTTTGAGATCGGTAAATCAGTGACAGTGTAGACGGAGCTTACATGGAGTGTAGCTTTTAACCTAGTCTGGGTAATCAATGGTTGTCAACAATCAATCAGTATTTATGGGTGGAGCTTACTTAGATGGAGTGTAGCCTATACCTTAGTCTGGGTAATCAATGGCTGTCAACTATCAAGCAATATTTATGGGTGGTGAGTGTAGCCTACACCTTAGCCTGGGTAATCACTAGCTGTCAACAATCAATGAGTGACATTGTGGGTGGAGCCTTTACTCAAAGTTACCTATTGTACAAGTGTAGTATCATTGACTCTGGTTCCCATAATCAGACCTATTTCTCTCTTCACTTCAACAAATAGATCTATCTTGGGAAAAAGAATCTTGTTAAGTCTTTAAGTAATATGTTCCAACTATGTGCTATTGTCATAATTTACAGCAGCATGATGCTTTATGACTTATCATAATTCACGATTCAAAACACTGATTTCAAATATATATGCTGCATCCAATGTCAGCAGAGAGCAGCAATGCAAAGTAGTTGGCCACCGTAGCAACATAATAGTGGTACTATGCTTCATTTTATTACAGATGAGTACAAGGCCTAAAATGATACTGGCAGAAAGAAAGCCAAAAGCACAAGCGTTACCATTCTCCTGTTCCAATGAGATATCGCTGGCACTTCTTCTTCTTCCCAGCAAGTTACGGGTAATACCATTCACATCGGAGCCCTAAAAATCAGTCAAGTTATTGTAATACATGTATCAAGGTAGCAAAGTCTCAAAATCATTGCTTTTCTTCTATCTAATCAATACAGAGGGCTCACAGTGGGTGTGTCCCATCAACAGGGCATGCTTACTCCTCCTAGGCACCTGATCCCACCTCTGGAATTTCCAGGGGTCCATGTTTTATGCCCTGTTCACAGATTTGTATTGTTTATAGATTTTATTGAGATCAATCACTGTTCGTTATCTTCACTTTTTCCATTCTAAACCCCAGACTGAGGTAGTAAACAGTGATAAATCTTTTTGTCCTCAAAATGTTGATCGAAAAACTTTAATTCTGGTCATAATCTAAGAGATAATTTGTTGGTGTTGAATACAGAAAAATTATTCATTAAGGACTTGGTCTTTGTTTTTCATTATCAAACATCCATTTTTTAGTTGTTTACTTACTACATCTGATGTCCTGTTGTTAATGAATGGTCATCAAAGAATGCAGAACTTGAAGTTTTTGTATAAATGTTTTTTTTCTATATCATACAGTTTTTCAACCATATGCAAATCACTGTCACATCACAAATAACATGCTGACAGAGATTGAATGTTATAAAAATCAAATACATGTATCAAAATTATCTGGATGACAAAATATTCAGTAATAATCAATATATAGTAACATACCTTTGCTTCAAAGTGGTTAGAGAGTCTGTGTTTTTCGGATGACTACAAAAGAAAATTTTAATTGTAACAATGAGTTATCTTTCTTGTACTATTCACTATCTATATCTAAGCATTCACCCTACATTACAATGTCATGTTCATTTATAAAACAGGGCCCTGGATTTCTTTAAAACTAATAGTTAAAGTGCTGAATTTTATGCTTTAATTCTGATCTATTCTTACAGTATGATCTACTTCTGTAAATTATAAAGAAAATGTCTTCTTAGTGAGTATATATGATCTATAATATAATAACTGTCAGATAAATCAAACAGAAACTAATAAACTGACAAATAGAAATTGAAAAAAAAAATCTTATGTGTTTTGAAGAGGAAAATAAAAAGATATTAATTAAGTGGTGTAACTGATATGATTGACAAAAAATGACTGTTTCTATGGTAATCTGTGGTAGTGAACTAATATAGCCTGGAGAAGGGGCCAAATTAATGAGTTGTAAAGCTAGGGATTCCTAGATTTACACTGAAATGAACACTTCATAAGATAATGATCTGTCTTCAGAAGATACATTGTCGATGTGGGTCTAAATTAAAATAATGTTTGTTCACAACAGACCTATTTAAATTCCTTTCAGCTTACAAAATTTTTAATCAAAAGAAATCTTTCCATTTTAATTTCACTTTGTTCTTAACTATGACATAATATACATGTTTCATATCATTTAATTAAAACTTTCAAAAATATGATTTATTTAATAATACAAAGCTTCAACTTCTTTAGTCAAAAAATAGCTCTTCAAAGCTATAATGTTTGTTTGTTTTGTTTTTGGTCAAAACCCAACTTTTAATAAATATTATCTCATCTTTTTATGTGAGTATTATATATAGCATGATTCTCATATAAAAAAAAAATATATATATGTACCTGTCCATTTGTTTACCCTAAAAATGATACTCTGGAAACAGCAAACAAGTTTTTTTTTAGCATGGCCTAAACATTTCTATATGTTCCTTTGTACATCATCAAGTTTCAATTAGTGCTGATTCCATCAATACAAATTGAGCTTCATGAAAAACCACTTAAGATCAAAGAATCCCCATTTCCTCACATGCTTCATTGTACCCAGCGACTTCTCTCCATTAGAAAACAATCAAATGCTACTGTGCCTAAGTTAATTTTCTCACTTACATATCTTTGTCTGTGAAATTACATTGGAACATAGCAAAATTATTCTGAACTCTACATATTAACAATCCGTATTTCTGCATATCAGACCAAAAATCAAATTTCCTAGGCTCCAAGACCATTTCATCAAGTGGAAAAATAATTTGCACATACAACAACCATTGGACTACAAGATTGGAGTGGAAAAAGCAATAGGCTGAGGTACATTTGTTACCCTGAAATAATTATCTCGGTTTGCTTTATTTGGTTATCAGAAAAGTAAATGGAGGCTGTCATGCTAACTATTCTCCCCTTTTTTGGACCACTCAATTCAACACTGCTTTTATGGGCTATCGATAGTTTTGTAATACATGTATAACATATCTTTGATGATAAAATTGTAATAATTACCCTGTGAATCACTCTAACCTAATAAAAATTCAAACACACAGTCAATGAAGTTATCTTTTTTTTTTTTTTAAAGATTATGTTTTAAGGTTAACCCACATTCCTTAAAAATATGATTCATTTAATATACATATCTTTTAGAGCAGGTATTAAAAACAGAACCTTCAGGGAGCTTATAAATAAATGTTGGTAAGTTGTCTGCTAATTGGGTCATATAAGTGTCGTTAAATCTACACACAGTTTTTCTTCCCCTCAATTCAACCACACAATATATTTATACACTGTAAGCAGAATTAAAATCCTCAGCTAAAAATGGAACAAGAAATGTATTTGATGGAAGAAAAAGCAAATACACATGGGAATTAGTAAATGCAAGATATGCAATAAGAATATCATTTACTTAAAACAATAAAATACTCTTGCAGGTCGACTTTAGGAACTTTTAAGAAACCATAGATTACAGGGCTAAAACTGAAAAGAATGAATTACATGTGTGATGTTTATTTATAAATAAGCCCTTAAGTGACTGTTTGACCTAAATGCACTTGTGAAACAGGTGGTGATAAATGCATATTGGCATAATGTCATGTATATATATGGTTTACTTCAATTATTTTAATTTAAGCAGCAGAGCTGTCAAAGTGATGCCTCATTATTAGTTTTCAGTGATATAAGATATGAGTGCTTGTCATTGTCATTGCTGTTACAGTAAAAAGATCGACACTGAATAAAATTGAATTCACATCAAATCATAGATGTGTTATATGCCTCTGCTTGCATTGTAAGCACAAAGTTCTCTAACATAGGTTTCAATTAATGATTTTTTAAGTAATCATATGTTACTTTTCCAGAAAATTTAATCAGTGATGCACTATATCAGATCGATGTTATTAGTTGCTTAATTATTTTAAGAATGACATAATTTTGGTTGTTAATGAAGTTTTGAATCCTACCATTATGAAGTGTAACCAGCAGTCTCTGATGAGACTGTAGCTCTACTGGTGTGTACTTATAATCAAGAAAGATGCATCTTTGTACAGTCTACAGACTGTACTTGTATACCAAGTCTTACTGAAATCTGACTGAAACTGTAGGAGGAGTGGCATTTTGAAAGAATTTCAAAGAAATTTCATAGAAATTTCTATTTTTAGTGACCATGGCAACATGGCAACACCATTTGTCAAAACCAAAAATTGATGCTTAGAATTATGTTTCCTAGTATGGTCTACTTGTGTACCAAATCTTATTGAAATCGGACCAAAACTGTTGGAGGAGTAGCATTTTTATTAAATAATTGCTTACAGACAGGGGGACAGCTATTCAGACAGACAGATGATGGACACCTTACCAATACATAAGCTCTTCTGGTCTCTGACCAGTAGAGTTAAAAACTTTTAAAAAATTTAGTCAGAAAAACATCATTCTGGGAAGGACCATGTTATTCTCTACAGAGTTATTTATATATGTTTCCACCTCATCTAAGTCATCAGAATTTCCCTCCACATGTGTGGTACCATCCGCTCCCTGCTGGTGGCTAGATGTTTGATCCCCTCCTTCACTGCCTTCTTTACCCATCTCGTTCTTGTATCCATTGATAAAGTAGGTCTTGATTACTAAAAAAGTTGACACTATTAACAAATCTAACAAAAACTTCAGTTCCATACTGTTATATTTTTTACCTTTATACCCTTATACCCTTCAGTAAAGGATGACTGCACTTAACGCCTGTTTTTGGGTCCTTTTCGGTTGCTTCTGTTGCTTTTATATCTAAACCTTATCTCAATTTTGTATGTTTATGAAAGAATACTGTCAATTTGGAACCACATTTAAATCTTAAAATGATTTTAGACTGTGATACAATAAAATGATTCAATGTTTTTTGTCCTTACTGCTTTCCAAATATAGTGAATTTACACTTACCTGCCCTTGATTGAACATTAGATATGCATGAGAGGTGGAGCTAACATTGTAAGAATGGCTCTAAAATTAGACTACATAAATAACAATGACATGTTTTGAAAAGCGAACATGATCACTCTTTCCAATCTCCCTCTCCATTCTGTATAGCACAAATACACTTCTGACAAAGCTTTCAAAACGAAATTAACAATATGAGCACGTCAATGTAATTAAAGCAAATTTATATCAATACCAGATGACTTCATGTGTTCGAACACAATGTCCTAGTTAGCACATCACATGCTTCCTTACAAGTCATGTGACGGAATTTAGTATTCACAAAGTTACCTGAGGTAAGAAATCACGTGGTGAATTATAATATTCAACATGTCACAATCCTTGGTTACAACACAGAGAGCGAATGTAAGAAGAAGCAGTTTTTTCTCTTTTTAACCATGAGCGCATGTTTGTCTATTAATCTCCTTTTGACACATTATTATTTATGCAAATATACAACTACTGTTAAATGTAGAAAAATAGACAAACATGCGCTGACTATGTATAAAGTCAGTAAAAAAGTGGGCGTCCTCATTATCGAACAGAGATTCAAGAAATTGAGATGACCCCTGCCTTTGAAAACAGATTCGAACTTCGTAAATACACACTTTTATTAAACGTAATTACATAAAGTTGTAGATTGGATGTTGACCATTCTTGCAATGAATAGAAAAATGCTTGTTTTGAAAGTTTATTTTGTCGCAAATTCCGCATTTCCTTAAGTGCAGTCATCCTTTATGACCAAGCTTATCTTAAAACACATAATTTTCATGAAATAACAAAATGCATCAGGTGAAGGTATACAAGTTTTTTATTTGTTTGTGACAAAAATCACACAAGGCAAAGATTTTCAAGTATACAGAATTACACTGATGCAACTGCTTGACTTACTGTTGGAAGGAGATCAGATACTAACAGCTGCTATGACAATGTTAAGATCTCTAATGCTATTACTGGTAGTGATCGCATTACGTTAGACATTCTCTGATTACTAGTACACTGCCCATACCTAATTATGAACTTATCGCTAGCCATTCTCTACCACTTTTACTATATTTCATAATATGTAACAAAATTTTTTGTGTGGAATACATTAACCATACAAAAGGGGTCAAATAAGGCACCTTGATGGTTTTTCTTGGATACTGTAACAAAGCTAAAAATAGCCTAAATAGGCTTATAGGCATTACTATCTTTTATGACCCAATATTGATCAGTATAATATAATGTCCCAGCTTTGGCTGCATCAAAGCAATGTCTCTTAAATGGGATCCTGGATAAATTTTTATTATGAAACCCGTCTTTATTTATACTAATGTAAATGAGTGTTGGGGTCAATAGTCATTGCTGACCTTTTCTATCCGTTATATTGATTTCGGAGACCAACCTTTTTGTTCCTCTGTATGTCTCACTGCGTAGGTTGATTTACTTGTGTCATATTCTTCTATTAGCACTTTATATGTCCTGTTATCTGCAAATAATAGGAAAAAAAAATTGTAAGTTTTCAAAACCTCACTTCCAGGTGATCTATCAGAGAAGTCTTTTCTCTGTACATCTGACAAACCAGAGTTCAACCTCGAGTGTTCCATGTCAGGGAGGTGCAAATTAATCACCAATCAAGCAGCTGCTTGTAAGATATGATATATTTGACATTTTCGCCCAGGTGCTACCATTATTCAAGTGATGTAAAAAGTGATGATTCATGAAGTATCTTTAAGTCATTATAGTGGCATCATAGAGCAATATTTTCTTAAGTACCTACATGCATGCATGCTTTCTCTGTCTCTCTGTGTATATATATATATATATGATTTAAATAATGTACATTTAATTAGTGAAAATAATCTACCATATATATATATATATATAGAGAGAGAGAGAGAGAGAGAGAGAGAGAGAGATCTATTATTACTGTTATAAAATTAACTTTAATAATTACTTTGTCTTTGCAGATCAGATCGGTTAAGTTCCTGAAAATCAGCTCATGTAAATATCCTGACCTAAGACCATAAACTGAGGAGAAAAAATCCCATGTCAGCAGCAACACTACCAGAATCTATTAATTTCCTTTAGCAATGGCAAGTGATAAATTTTGTGTGTGAGAAATTTTAGATGATTTCCAGAGAATCAAGCCCCATTACATCTTCTTATCCTCTTCAATAGTCTGTCACCAACAGATTCTCCCAGCATATTTGTAGGCTTATCAGATTTGTATCTCATGTACTCATTTGAATTTAAACAATTAGAATGTACTAACTGATTTCTCTTAGAGTGCATACCAGAAACTTTGCAAAGCTCAACCTCACAACTAAATATTGTACAGTGTATGTTGGGATTGTGCAAACATAAAACAATATTTATCTTCATACAAAGGGTACAGTTATTGTATATGGAATGCTCTGCTCAGGCCACAAGTTAAAGGAGTATTTCTGGGATATAACTGACAACATTCATGACTACTAACAACATGGAATACTATGGTTAAGTCATTCTGGAGTATAATCCATATTAACAAGAGGCCCATGGGCCACATTGATCACCTGAGTACATAAGCAAGGAAAAGGCAGAATTCAGTTCAGTATTGAAAAGTATAAATATGCAAGTGGTCCAAAATTATCCCTGCCCCTGATTTGAACAAACTTGAATCTATCACTAACTGAGGATGCTTCCATATTTCTATGACTAATCATGGCTTTAGAAGATTTTTAAAGATTTCTTCTTATACATTTGATCTTCTCTTGTGGACCTGCCTTACCCCCTGGGGACCCACCTTACCCCATGGGAACATGATTTGAACAAACTTGAATTTACACTACAGTACATGAAGATGCTTCCATAGAGATATGACTAATCATGGTTCTGCTGTTCTTGAGGGGAAGATTTTTAAAGATTTCTCTTATGTAAAATTTTGATGCCCATTGTGGCCCCACCCTACCCCAAGGGGTCAAGATTTTCAAAAATTTCAATCTTCACTACCTGAAAATGTGTCCAATCTAATTAAAGAGGCTGGGGGGTTGTGGCAATTTTTAGACTATATTGATCTCCTTTAGAAGAAGAGCTCCATATGAAGATATAGAAAATGATCAAATTTTAAAACTAAAATTTTTGAAATTTTTCTTTGCCAAATGATAGTTGACAGCTTAAGATATCATATCTAAAAAATTAAGTTAAATCTGGTGGTTAATTTGTGGTTAATTTGTTGACCCCCCAGCCTCCTTAAAATTAGATGTTCCAAATCTGCTAGCGCTTCTCAAACATCTAACATCCCATTAGGGGTCACATCAGAGCGACCTTTCGATTATGAATAAACATAAAAATTTTGGCCAATCAGATTCAACCTTCTGTATACGATTCTAAAATTAGTTCCACGGCTACATCTTTACATTATTGATGCTCAGTAGACTGTTTTACGTTGAATTAAAATAATTTTGGTATAAATTGAACGTATTGTCCGCCAATCTGGCATTCTTACCTGAATAATGCAAAGGAAAATGCACAAACTACATGTATACATCTATATATCCCGCACGTCACATTTATATATAGCAAGGGCTTTACCATGCACCATGCATATTTTGTTTACTACGAAACCCCTCGGGCGTTTAGGTGTGGCAGTAAAAGAAGAAACGCATCCGAACTATAAGCCAAGATTTCAGAGACGGCGATTTCATTGGGTAATCGAAAGGTCGCTCTGATGTGACCCCTAATGGGATGTTGTTAGATGTTTGAGAAGCACTAGCGGATTCGGAACATCTAATTTTAATTAGATTGAGATGCATCCAACTAAGTTTCAAATTTTCTGGCCCAGTGGTTCTCAAGAAGAAGATTTTTTAAAGATGCCATTGATTTTTGCACTAATTCATATTTTTCTTCCCTTGGAAGAAGGCATGCCTCTTCATTTGTACAAACTTGAATTCCCTTTACCTAAGGATACTTTGTGGCAAGTTTGGTTGAAACTGGTCCAGTGGTTCTGGAGAAGATGAAATTGTAAAAAAAAATTAATGACACAACAATGATGACATTAGACAGCAGACAAATTTTGATCAGAAAAGCACACTTGAACATTTGGCTCAGGTGAGCTAAAAAGACATCAAATTTCTTGACATACAGGGCACTAACTTCAGAAAATGTGTGTTGTAAATTTCATTAATTTTCAGAATGCAGAAAATAATATTAACTTAAAAATCACTTTTTAAAGAAAATTTACATTTATTAGTTCTTTTGAATCTTTAAACATGCACAAAAGATGAACAATTTCTTGTTTGTTGATCAAGAACATTTTTTTTATCCTTAATCAATAAAACATGAAGCAAATTAAGAAAGACACAACCATTATGTATCTCGTTTCCTCCAGCAAATGGTAGAATCTCTGTACAAAGAACATTTCCAGCAAAGACAATCAATGCATAAAGATATTGTTGTCCTTCGAAAAACTCCCACAGGATCTAAAATGGCCACAGACTGTATAATAAAGTTCTGGTGCTGCTTAATTGACTAAACATTTCATGTTCTATCATCTCCTGTTCCACAGTCATTGAACTGGAGAAACATATCACCATCTCAACAATGTGTCAATATCTGAATAAATCTGATACCGAATATAAACAATTATCTCCTGTCTTCTCAAAATGCATGTTCTGACATATCAGATTTGGACATAAAGCTTTTCTAAATCAACTAATAAATGCATGCAGTGCAAAGAAACCAATCTATCAAATACCCAGTAAATAGTTTCACACACTGGACATGTCATTGATTCAGTTTAAGAGGCATCTGGTTTAGATATATAATTTTATATATATATATTTTTTTTAATTTTTCTTGTCTTCAGTGACTTTACAGACCTGGATCAATAATCTAGCTGGGTAGCCGCTAGCAACATCAGCCATTTACATGATTTACAGCAACTTTTAGCTGTTTCTATACAATTTGGATCCCCATAATCATGAAATTTAGGCTTGAAGACATCATAAAATGGATTCCAATCATCATTTACTTCAAAGTATAAAAGGGGAAAAGTTCAACTTATTTGCAGATATAAATAATTTTTGATTATTTTCAAATTCTATTACACAAGAGAGACTTGATGAAAGAGCAAGGAAACAGAGGTCCCATAATATGAAGTACCCAATAGTGAGATCAATGGTCACTGCCGAGATAAACTGATAGACAAAAACATATATATGTCTACCCAAAGCCGCTGAGCTACCCACACAATTCATTTTGATACATCACTCTTCCAAATCTCTACTTTATATTATATCTTATTGAAGGTTTGGGATTGATCATTAAATAACCATACACAGAGTACATGTATGTAGTTTTATTTTCTGTGCTTTTTTAAAAGGTGCAATAAAAATAACAATGAAGTGAAAATAACTTACGTAAAGCACAAATAAACTAGCAAATTATTGTAAATTTAAAACAAGGGTAAAAAGTGAAATGTAAAAAGGACTAAGAGCAAAATCAGATTTGCACACAATACAAGATGGGAAATTTTCTCAAATTAAAGCCTTTATGCCTTTTAATCAACAATTTTTCCTCAAATCTTGGGCCATGTAAATTAAGTTCATCAATTTATTAAAGAAAAATGAATGCATTTTATAATGTTTGTTTTTGTTTGGCATATTTATATGGTCATTTAACTTAGATAACCTCCCCTTCCAATCCTTTTTAATAATAAAATATCAATCAATGACACAGCGAGAGTACAGTGTGAGGCTTCGTCTGGATACGGTAATTAATAAGTCAAGACAGCGTACTTTAAACAGTCAGTAATCTCCTGTTTTGACTATTTCATGACAACTCTCAGATATTAATATAAAAATGCGTGGGATTCTGTCACATACAGAAAGTCTAAGACCTCAGGACAGATTACATTCACCCTTAAAATCACTGTGATTTATAGTCCTAAAAGTGTGTAAAGCATGCTTAAAATATCTTATAAATTCAGAACTGTACTATATTGTAGATGTGAGAATACCACTGTAGAAGTTCAGGCTTTACGGACCGTGGATATCGGCGGATAGCTCAGTGGTTAGAGCACCTGACTAGTAATACAGGGGTCCCGGGTTCGATTCCCGGTCCAGCCATATATTTTCTTTATGCATTTCTCCTTTCCTACTACACCACTTTCAGTATTTTACATATACAATATTTTGTAATTATTTATTAATCTACCAAAGTAGTCATTAAAATGATAAAGGTTTGATCAATTTATATGTCACAGATGGAAAAGAAAATGAGTATGAACCATTTTCACATTGAACTATTCAAACTCTACTTTAGGAAGGCAAACATTGCTCAATGCTATATTTAATCATGGTTTGTAACAGTGTGTAACTACCTACTATTCTGCTAACACACAATTCCTTCACATAACATCTAAAAAAGATAAATTTAAGGAATAGATGTTTTTATAAAATCAATTTGTCAATTTATCCCTTTCATGGAAAAGGAGTCGAGTTTGAA